CCTATTTGTGCAAGACCTTGTATTGCCTGTAGAATAGAAGACAGCCCTGGCCTTCAACTCCTCCTAAAATACCTGTACCTTGGTGTCTTGCTCATGCCTCCGGAGTGTATTCACTTGTTTGTCTAAAGAAAACATTGGAATGCACATCCCAATAACCAGAAATCTCACATTTGGCGCCAAAAACGGGGCTAGACATGTGTGAAAAAATTATTACGCAAACATACACACTATCACAAGGACACTTGAGGAGTCACTGCTACCACTACCACTATATAAACTATGACCAGGATACAACAACTCTTACTGATGCCACTGCAATGATACACACCATGAAGAGGATACCACAGAAGTCACTGCTGCCACTACCATTATACACACTAACAATGATACAGCAGCAGTCACTGCTGCTACTATCATTATACACACTATGACACGGATACAACAACAGCAGTCACTGCTGCTACTATCATTATACACACTGTGACACGGATACAACAACAGGAGTCACTGCTGCCACAATCATTATACACACTAACAATGATACAGCAGCAGTCACTGCTGCCACTACCATTATACACACTAACAATGATACAGCAGCAGTCACTGCTGCCACAATCATTATTCACACTAACAATGATACAGCAGCAGTCACTGCTGCCACTACCATTATACACACTAACAATGATACAGCAGCAGTCACTGCTGCCACAATCATTATTCACACTAACAATGATACAGCAGCAGTCACTGCTGTCACTATCATTATACACACTAACAATGATACAGCAGCAGTCACTGCTGCCACAATCATTATACACACTAGCAATGATACAGCAGCAGTCACTGCTGCCACTATCATTATACACACTAACAATGATGCAGGAGCAGTCACTGCTGCCACAATCATTATACACACTAACAATGATACAACAGCAGTCACTGCTGTCACTATCATTATACACACTAACAATGATACAGCAGCAGTCACTGCTGCCACTATCATTATACACACTAACAATGATGCAGGAGCAGTCACTGGAGCTGATAGAGAAAGAGAGTTTTAGATTTATTCAGTTCTTCATAACAAATAATATTGATAATAATGCACTTATTACAGCGATCAGAGTCTAGGGAGAGACTTACATTAAAGAGACGTTGGTCAGCATCTCTCACCTTGTGGTATTATTCTTAATGATCCCTCACTCATTGTTCCAGCAATAGTGATATACAATATTCTCGGAGATAAATAATAATCTCGAGAACTCACAATAATTTAGAGAACACAGTGTGTTCTAAGGTTTCATCTAAACTCTATGGACCTCATAGTAATATTGAAAATACAACAGTACTGAGAACACACAATGATCTGGAGAATTCACAATGATCTCTAGAACACACAATGATCTGGAAAACACACAATGATTTGGAGAACTCACAATGATTTGGAGAACAAACAATGATCTGGAGAACACACAGTGATCTGGAGAACACACAGAGATCAAGAAAACACAGTGATCTGGAGAACACACTACCCCGGGGCTCCTCTGTGTACGCATTGGTCCTAAGAGAGAGAGTACCTTGGGGCTGCTCTCTGTACCTGTTGGTCCCAGGAGAGAGAGTACCCTTGGGCTGCTCTCTATACCCGTTGGTCCCAGGAGAGAGAGTACTCTGGGGGCTGCTCTCTGTACCCGTTGGTCCCAGGAGAGAGAGTACCCTGGGGCTGCTCTCTATACCCGTTGGTCCCAGGAGAGAGAGTACTCTGGGGCTGCTCTTTGTACCCGTTGGTCCCAGGAGAGAGAGTACTCTGGGGCTGCTCTCTGTACCCGTTGGTACCAGGAGAGAGAGTACTCTGGAGCTGCTCTCTGTACCCGTTGGTCCCAGGAGAGAGAGTACTCTGGGGCTGCTCTCTGTACCCGTTGGTACCAGGAGAGAGAGTACTCTGGAGCTGCTCTCTGTATCCGTTGGTCCCAGGAGAGAGAGTACTCTGGGGCTGCTCTCAGTAACCCTTGGCTCCCAGGTAACACACACACAAGGGAATGTCGTCCCACCTGATGAGCGACACATATCGTCCATATACCGTCACTGGAAGAGAATATGACACTATGAGTCTAAAGTTACCTTCCCCACACTTCAGCCCTGGACGTGGAGTTCACTTCAGCTCTGGACGTGGAGTTCACCACTCCAGCCCTGGACGTGGAGTTCACCACTCCAGCTCTGGACGTGGAGTTCACCACTCCAGCTCTGGACGTGGAGTTCACCACTCCAGCTCTGGACGTGGAGTTCACCACTCCAGCTCTGGACGTGGAGTTCACCACTCCAGCTCTGGACGTGGAGTTCACCACTCCAGCCCTGGACGTGGAGTTCACCACTCCAGCCCTGGACGTGGAGTTCACCACTCCAGCCCTGGACGTGGAGTTCACCACTCCAGCCCTGGACGTGGAGTTCACCACTCCAGCCCTGGACGTGGAGTTCAACACTCCAGCCCTGGACGTGGAGTTCAACACTCCAGCCCTGGACGTGGAGTTCACCACTCCAGCCCTGGACGTGGAGTTCAACACTCCAGCCCTGGACGTGGAGCTCAACACTCCAGCTCTGGACGCGGAGTTCAACACACAAGCTCTGGACGTGGATTTCAACACGCCAGCTCTGGACGTGGATTTCAACACGCCAGCTATGGAAGTGAAGTTCAACACTCCAGCTCTGGACGTGGAGGAGTTCAACACTCCAACTTTGGACGAGGAGTTCAACACTCCAGCCCTGGACGTGGAGGAGTTCAACACTCCAGCCCTGGACGTGGAGGAGTTCAACACTCCAGCTTTGGACGTGGAGGAGTTCAGCACTCCAACCCTGGACGTGGAGGAGTTCAACACTCCAGCCCTGGACGTGGAGGAGTTCAACACTCCAGCCCTGGACGTGGAGGAGTTCAACACTCCAGCCCTGGACGTGGAGGAGTTCAACACTCCAGCCCTGGACGTGGAGGAGTTCAACACTCCAGCCCTGGACGTGGAGGAGTTCAACACTCCAGCCCTGGACGTGGAGGAGTTCAACACTCCAGCCCAGGACGTGGAGGAGTTCAACACTCCAGCCCTGGACGTGGAGGAGTTCAACACTCCAGCTTTGGACGTGGAGTTCAACACTTCTGTCGCGTCCATGTACTCTTTAATGGAGAATTTGATCAAACCAAATTTTACATGTGTATTTTTTTAAGTAATTACAGCAAATTCGGCAAAATATACAAGTCACATACCACCCTATACCTGATTCTGTACGTCACCCTTTGCCTGACTCTGTACCCTCAACCCGTGCCTCACCCTGTGCCTCACCCTGTAATTATAATTACAAAATAAACATACACATTAAAATATTCAGTAAAGCTCTCCTCACAACTTAAGGTCATCCTGATCAATAACATCAATATATCGTATCCTCCACCAAGGACTGTAGTAACCCTTAAGCTCTGGTCCAACCATAAAGTCTCATCCTGGAATTTGACCATTAACTATAATTCCTTCGTAGGTTATGTGACTGAGTCCACTTTTACTTCACACAGTTCCACCATACAGCAGACATAATTTCTAATCAGTCTCCAGGTCAAGGTACTACTTTGCTGAGCGGAGTAAACTCAGCATCACGTGACCTATCTGCTATATATGACTCAGCATCACGTGACCTATCTGCTATATATGACTCAGCATCACGTGACCTCCTATCTGCTATATATGACTCAGCATCACGTGACCTAACTGCTATATATGACTCAGCATCACGTGACCTCACATATGTCCCTTTTGTCAACTTAAGGATTTCCTCTATGTTCCAATTCATGTTTAATTAACATAGTTACTTAACAAAGACGTTATTATTTACAATTACTTTTATAAACTGAATTTCTCTAAACCTGTTGAATTAACTCGCCGGTAGACTGTAGCAATCGTACCTGTCTCACTCCCCCGCTAATCTCTTGGGACAACTCTTTCTGGAAACTCAGGTAGAAACTTTAATGAAACTCCAAAACCAAGAATATTCATGTCCACAATACTATACAAACTGCTAAAACAGGTTAGACTGTTACACCAACAATAGTGTAGTGAACAACACTGGTCAAAGGTAAAGTGCCCCACACTGGTGTAGTGAACAACACTGGTCTAGCGTACAGTGCCCACACTGGTGTAGTGAACAACACTGGTCAAGCGTACAGTGCCCACACTGGTGTAGTGAACAACACTGGTCAAGCGTACAGTGCCCACACTGGTGTAGTGAACAACACTGGGCAAGGGTACAGTGCCCACACTGGTGTAGTGAACAACACTGGTCTAGGGTACAGTGCCCACACTGGTGTAGTGAACAACACTGGTCTAGGGTACAGTGCCCACACTGGTGTAGTGAACAACACTGGTCTAGGGTACAGTGCCCACACTGGTGTTGTGAACAACACTGGTCTAGGGTACAGTGCCCACACTGGTGTAGTGAACAACACTGGTCAAGGGTACAGTGCCCACACTGGTGCAGTGAACAACACTGGTCTAGGGTACAGTGCCCACACTGGTGTAGTGAACAACACTGGTCTAGGGTACAGTGCCCACACTGGTGTAGTGAACAACACTGGTCTAGGGTACAGTGCCCACACTGGTGTAGTGAACAACACTGGTCTAGGGTACAGTGCCCACACTGGTGTAGTGAACAACACTGGTCTAGGGTACAGTGCCCACACTGGTGTAGTGAACAACACTGGTCAAGGGTACAGTGCCCACACTGGTGCAGTGAACAACACTGGTCTAGGGTACAGTGCCCCACACTGGTGTAGTGAACAACACTGGTACTGTGCCCTCCAGGGTACTCACCGTTGAAGGTCTGTGTGGTGAACTCCGTCGGCGTATCACTCAGGTTGGCCACTATGGGGTCACTTTTGCCGTTTGTCAAGCCCACCTGTCAACATTACTGTATGTCAAGCACACCTTTCAGCACAACTGCATGTCAAGCCCACCTGTCAGCTCTACTGCATGTCAAGCCCACCTGTCAGCACAACTGCATGTCAAGCCCATCTCTCAGCACAACTGCATGTCAAGCCCACGTGTCAACACAACTGCATGTCAAGCCCACCTGTCAACACAACAGCATGTCAAGCACACCTTTCAGCACAACTGCATGTCAAGCCCACCTGTCAGCTCTACTGCATGTCAAGCCCACCTGTCAGCACAACTGCATGTCAAGCCCACATGTCAACACAACTGTATGTCAAGCCCACCTGTCAACACAACAGCATGTCAAGCACACCTTTCAGCACAACTGCATGTCAAGCCCACATGTCAGCTCTACTGCATGTCAAGCCCACCTGTCAACACAACTGTAGGTCAAGCCCACCTGTCAGCACAACTACATGCCAAGCCCACCTGTCAACACAACTGCATGTCAAGCCCACCTGTCAACACAACTGTATGTCAAGCACACCTGTCAACACAACTGCATGTCAAGCACACCTTTCAGCACAACTGCATGTCAAGTCCACCTGTCAACACAACTGCATGTCAAGCCCACCTGTCAGCACAACTATATGTCAAGCCCACCTGTCAACACAACTGTATGTCAAGTCTACCTGTCAGCACAACTATATGTCAAGCCCACCTGTCAACACAACTGTAGGTCAAGCCCACCTGTCAACACAACAGCATGTCAAGCCCACCTGTCAGCACAACTGCATGTCAAGCCCACCTGTCAACACAACAATATGTCAAGCTCACATGTCACGTCATTTGTATGTCAAACACACTGGTCAGCTTATCTGTATATCAAGTCGACCTGTCAACTCTACTGTATGTCAAGATCACTTGCCAACACAACTGTATGTCAAACTCCCATGTCGACACAACTGTTTGTCAAGCCCTCCTGTCAACTCAACTGTATGTCAAGCTCGCTTGTCAACACATCTGTATGTCAAGCTCGCATGTCAACACAACTGTTTGTCAAGCCCTCCTGTCAACACAACTGTATGTCAAGCTCACCTGTCAGTGTAACTGTATTTCAAGCCCACCTGTCATTGTAACAGTATGTCTAGCCCACATGTCAACACAACTGTATGTCAAGACCATCTGTCGACATAACTGTATGTCAACCCACCTGTCAACATAACTCTATGTCAAGCTAACTTGTCAATACAACTGTATATCAAACACACCTGTCAGCTTGTTGGAAATTTCGCAACACTTAATAACTAACCCCTAGCACGATAAGAGGCAATTCTTGTACTAGGCTTTATCATTTACTAACACTACTAACCAGTTGGGCAGTGAAATTAAATTCATTTAATTAAGGTGTAGTACCGCCCGATGTCTCCCTAGAATAATGGCTGGGGTGTTGCGTGAGCCACATGGCTATAGGGATAGTTTATACATATAGGTGAATCGAATTAAATTCACTTTACTTCAGCATTTCTTTATTATGAATTATTGGCTGACAACAGATTTATCTTCCATCAATAAATATACGATCGTTTGCTGGAAATAATTTATACAGTTACGATCAGCTGTTCCAATAAGTACATGAAGAACTAAATTTCCACTCCTAACATATTTGCCCATTTAACGCCATTACATTTAAATTATTTGCGTAGCGAGAACCAATCTGTTGTCAAGTAAGACAAATTAACATCGTGTAATTTAAGATGAACCTTGTCTTTATCCTCACGGAATGTTGGACAAAATATAGAGATTAATTCCCGAGTTTCAATATTATGATCTATTGCGCATGCGCGAGTCAGGCAGGGGGAAGAGGGAGAGATCAGCCGCCATTATTAGCTGCACTGATGGTGTCCTGGAGCTGTGCGTTCCTCATCGAGCTGTTTCCATAGCATCCGACAACTGAGGAGTTTCCAATCGATACCACAGCTTCCATCATTTACGATCACCACGTTGAACAGTCATAATAAACTTAGAATTATTTAGTTAGCCAATTATATATGTATTCTGTTAGGTGGTCTGTCGCGACGACGTGCGATTAAAACATAACCCACATAAGTGGACGTTCTACTCTTCCGGCTTATCCATATTTATTGGTTTACTAGCTGTACCCGCCATGCGCTGCTGTGGCTCAGTCTGGTTAAATGTAAAATATAGAAAAGATAAAGTGCTTATATATGACATGTTTAATTTCTCAATGCTTGTGGGTATACCATACTTTTTGTTGTTCCATTGTCTGAGGAGATATAGAGATTGTCTGGTTTGCCAACTCTAGAACACGCAACATATAAGTGTCCATGTGAGAAGTAATTCATGTCTTGATATAAACTGTTCAATTCTAAAGATTGGCCCTGAGCTTTGTTGATGGTTGTTGCAAACGCCAAGTGAATTGGAAATTATAATCTCTTAAATTGAAATAGCATACCCGTTGGAATCATAGTAATGAGAGGAATGAGGACATCTTCACCTTTGAAAGGTCCTGTCAATATTGTTGCTTCTACGACGTTGCACATTATTTTTTACTGCAAGCCGCGTGCCGTTGCAAATCTTTGTCTGGCTTATATCTCGCAACATGATAATTGACTCGCCAATTTTTAATTGCAGTACGTGTGGTGGTATCCCTGGCAGATCGAGTGAATTCAAAAATCCTGTTGGATCATTAACCGCTTCATCTGCTTCCACAACAGTGTCGACGGACTTGTATATGACTGCCTCGCTTTGAATGTTAGACTGAATAATATTGTTAAGTTCGTAGACATCTTTGTTCTTGGCCGCAAGAATAGCTCGTTCACTCAGTCAATCGTGATCCTTATAATCGGTTTGAATATTGCGAAATCCTTTTCAACCAATTCTTCTTTTGACATCACTAAATTGCAGAAGTTATGAGGCAATGAAATTCGTCCAGAAGTCATATCAACCGGTACGTTTCCGTTCCCAATTTCCAGCAACTGATGTGAGAATATCTCAGCTGATGGATCGTTTTGCAGCTGGATACGCACAGCTGAAAAATCAAGACGGATGAAGATAGACAGAGACTACAGGATGACCTGGACAAACTGGAGGAATGGTCTAGAAAATGGCTGCTAATGTTCAACTCAAGAAAGTGTAAGGTAATGAAATTTGGCGAAGGGAGCAGGAGGCGGAACACAAGGTATCATCTGGGAGGTGAAATCCTACAATAGTCAAATAGAGAAAAAGGTCTGGGGGTTGATATCACACCGAACCTGTCCCAAAAGGCCCACATCAAAAGAATATCATCAGCAGCATATGCTACACTGGCCAACATAAGATCTGCCTTTAGAAACTTGTGTACGGAATCGTTCAGGACCGTGTATTCCAATTATGTAAGACCAATCCTGGAGTATACAGCTCCAGCCTGGAGTCCATACCTAGTTAAACACAAGACAAAGTTAGAGAAGATTCAGCGGTATGCCACCAGGCTCGTCCCGGAACTGACAGGAATGAGCTACGAGGAAAGGCTAAAGGAGCTGAACCCCACTTCCCTGGAAAAGCAGAAGAGTAAGGGGAGATATGATAACCACCTACAAAATTCTCAGGGGAATTGACAGGGTGGACAAAGACAAACTCTTCAGCACGGGCGGGACACGAACAAGGGGACACAGGTGAAACTTAGTTCCCAGATGAGTCACAGAGACGTAAGAAAGAATTTTTTAAGTGTCAGAGTAGTTAATAAATGGAATGCACTCGGAGGTGATGTGGTGGAGGCTGACTCCATACACAGTTTCAAATGTAGATATGATAGAGCCCAGTAGGCTCAGGAATCTGTACACCAGTTGCTTGACAGTTGAGAGGCGGGAACAAAGAGCCAAAGCTCAACCCCCGCAAGCACATTTAGGTGAGTATAATTTACAGTTAATTTTAACGTCTTTACGTGGTACCACAAAGTAGAGTATTTCAGGCAAGCATTTATAGCGTCCGCTGGTGTCGATCGAGGAATTACAGGTAATGTTTACCTGAAACCTCCTGCAAGCAATACTGATGCACTCCCAAGTGATCTGATGCTTCCACGCAGATCTTGCAATGATCGATCAAGAGCCTCGAGCGATTTTTTGTAGTCCATTGTGCATTTTTCCAAAACGATAAGTTTCCATTTCTGCAATATTTGTCCCATGCACGATGCTTTGGAAAGGTTGCACGAGGGAGTTTTAATGAATTGCATGTTCAATTGCAATTTCAAAGCCGAATGAGCAGTTCTTCCACCTGGTAGCAACAGGTGGACGAATATCGCAGCTATTCCTGACGACGCAAGATCTAAGGTTATGCCATTTTGGGATCGAGTTGCTGCCAGAATCAATATAATTGTTAAGGTTTTACCAGTTCCTACTGGCGCATCTAAGAACAAGATTTCTCCTATCCCTTTATTGACAGTTTGAATTATTTGATCGTAAATGCTTTTTCGCTCAAGTGTTAGCTTAGGAATATTTGACTGCACATACGACAACAGATCATCCATGTTGTAATTTTGTTCACGAGGCAATTTTACAACAAACGAAGCAGCAGCAGATGGATTCGGTGACGCATTCCCAGTTTAATGAGAGCTTTGTTCGTGATTTCTTAGCATAAATTTTCAATCATTATCAATGCTTCGTTGTAGATTTCTGCTGTAAAATCTATGTTCATATTTGAATTTTCCTTGCGTATTCGATGGACAATATCTGAAGCCGTGTGCGATTTTTATTTCCCCTATAACTCTGTTGGAGATGGAGAGCAGGCTGTCAATATGATTGCAAACAATGCACGAATTTGATTTGGACGTGACGTGTTGGACGCGTCATTAATCCATACATCCCAGTGTCTTTCGTTCTGCAATAATTTCAGAGCTTGGCATGCACTACGGAAAGTACCATTTGTAACGCCGTTTGAAATACGTTTTACAGAGGTCTTTTAAAAACAGCATGTGAAGAAAGACGCATTCATCTTGATTTTGATGCACAGTGTACAGTCTGCCTATCAAATGATTTTCTACTTGCATTCCATATGTAATACTTAGCCACTTCCGAATACAGCAGTGTTTTCACAAACGCGTCATTCTGACAGAACGTGAACAAAACACTTAACGTTGTAGCCGGTGGAACTATTCGTTGCACATTTGCGGCTGTTAAATAAACGTGTTGTTCATTTTCTTGTTTTCAAAACAAAAACACTAACGAAATATTTCAATTCAAACGCAGATCAATCGACACAGCTCAATTCCATCGCCAATTTCACTGAAAAATAAGAACAATTAAAAAACGAAATGAAAAACAATTAAAAAAATATAAAATAAACTATACTCACGAAATGAACGGTATGGTAAACAATACAGCTCAATTTCAATGCAATTTCACACAAAATAATTAAATCAAAATAAAAATAAATCAAAATCTATGAAAATTCAATTTATCAATGCAATTGGAAACATTGAAATGGAATCATAACATATTTAGTACAGCTTATGATTGCTCTTACATGCAACAGATGGCGCGGTTTAAAAAAAAAACGTGTTTTACCTGTCACAGATATTGCATCTATATAGTAGGTATATAAAAACATGCGCAAATTTTTATGGAGCGTTGTGTCAAATTTTCAAAGCAATCCGCGAAGCACTTTTGGATATTACAGCGTGTGTTATTCATACGTCCAACAGATGGCACTGTTTAAAAAAAAAAACATTTTTTCCGGTCACAAGTGAGGCATGTATATAGTAGGTCAATAAAAACACGCCTATTCAAATGCAGCATTGTGTCAAAATTTCAAAGCAATTGGTAAAGAGGTTTCGAAGATTTCCTTGACATGAAAAACACAGCTATTCAAAGAAAAAAATACATGTTTTCCAGTCACAGATTTGATATCTATATAGTATGTATTTAAAAACCTGCTTGGATGCGAAGGGAACGTTGTGTGAAAATTTCAAAGCAATCTGTGGAGAACTTTGGGAGATTAGCGATTTTGAACAAACGAACATTTCCATTTTTTTCATATAGAATGCATTAATTGAATGTTTGTAGTAGAAATTGTATGTAATTCGCCTTTCAGCTTGGATTTATGGGCAAGAGAGA